CTGTTTCTGAGCTCTCCAGTGATTAGCCAGTTTCAGCTAGATTTCTGCCACTTGTAACTGGAGGGGAGTCCTGATTAATGAATGCTCAGGGGTAAGTAAGATGGCTTAGAGTGGGAGGAGATGAGAGTCAGAGTGGCTATACCAGTGGATGGACATGAAGCATTGAGGGTCTAAACCATGGCACCCTGGAGTAGAGAGAAAAGGCAGCAAGTCAAGAGCAGGAACCATCTAGACTTTTCCTCTCTTTGAAAGTTGTGCAAGCAGGGTCCAGTGATTACCACCTCTTCCTTCATGACGCCCTTCACTTGCTCTTTTTCATCTGGCTTAGACAACTGTGCCATGCAAGTGAATCAGGTACACTGCCCCCATTTTGTAGCATGGAGAAGTTAAAGGACTTGGCTGAGATCACACGAACTCTGGGGCCCCGTTCCTGTTTTCCAGTTCACCGTGGATGGGCTCTTACAGTATGAACCGAGGTCACCGGGCGCCATCTTTCCATCACCTTGATGAGGAAGGACACCCTGCCTCCGGGCTTCTTTTATCATGGACATGGAGAAACATAGGAATTGTTACTGAGGAAAGGCCTGGGAGCCTGTGACCCCCTTCATTAAAAATAAATTCTGCCTGAATCTCCTGGTTCTAAATAGAAGAGAATGTAGATTTGGGGCAGAACCGAAGGGGAAGGGATTTCCCTTGGCAAATTATTTGCAATTTGTGGATTGGAGCTGACCCAGCTCCAATTCCCACGTCACTATGAGCGCTATCTAAAATGTGAGCAGCTTATTAAAGAACCAGAGCTGGAGGCGATCCTCCCTCGGGGCTCAGTGGAACAGGAGCAGAGTTAAAACCCACCAGCTTCCTCCTCCCAGTGTCTCACATCCAGGAACTGCTGAAATTCTCAGCCACTGTTCACTCTAGGGCGACCACTTCCTGCAGCCGTGGGAACAAGAGCCAGCATGTTGACAGTGTGTGCCTTTTGTGAGGCATGATGAAAAGCCAGCTGTCTTAAGTACTTAAATCAGTGGTCCTCAGACTGTAGCATGCAACCCGTGCATGGTCTTAAGCGCCATTGCTAGTAATTCTGAACTAGTCATAGGCTTTCCAAGTAATTCTGAAGCAGGGGATCCAGAGACCACAGTCTGAGAGACAATGATCAAGCAAACAAATGCACAAACTCCAAGTGGCCCCTTCATCAGAGGTTCAAAGACACTGTTGTTGCAGGCACACTTCCTGAGGTCCAGAGTCTCCTTCTCCAGGCAAGAATACTGGAGTGGGTTGCTATTCCCTATTCCAGGGGATCTCCCTGACCCAGGGATTGAACCTGGGTCTCCTGCATTGTAGGCAGATTCTTTACCCTCTGAGCCACCAGGGAAGCCCCTGCTTCTTACTAACAGGGTCTATTACTCACTGGCATTATTTGGGGGACATACAGAAGGCTTTCTTGATTGAGAATATCTCCAAGGAGCCATGAATCTAGAGTCCTAAGCATTTGTCTTCTCTACTGCTTCTTTTAAACCATGAGCAGTTTACGGAGAACAGCACATTCTCTGTTCAATAATTTTTTTTTTTGTAAAGGAAAAATCCCCGTGTGACATACCCACAGGATATTCAAGTGTAAATGCAGCTCATCTGTCTTCATGGTCCGGCCTGCCAGATTGGATTTTTCCCTGTTTTTCTCTGTCCCCAGGCACTATTCCCTGAGAGAAAGGCTTTCCAAGAGCATCATGTGAGTTTTTTCCTCCTTGGGTGCCTTTATTAACAAAACCCTAAAGAAAATCCATGGATTTCTATTTCCTCATCCATCTTGTTATGTGTTATCATCCTTCCCAAATTAACCATAGAATCACTGTGTGAGGTGGTCCACAGGCTTTCACAATAAAATCAACTGCATATGGAAATGAATCTGAAAATTCCATTTATTAAAACAAATACATTGTCTATGGGGGATGAAAGTGTACACATCACATTCAGGTTTTTCTGCTTTAACATTTCTGTATTTCTCTCTCTTTGAAAGATACACTCCTTAGATCTTATATAGGAAAAAATGTGAACAGTTCTAGGGCTGGAAAAATGTTAATGTATACGTATAATAATTCACCATTGCCAGGAGCAGCTAGAAGCAAATATTTTTTTAAAAAAAGTACAAAAAATCCCATAAGACAGCATGCTTGATTTCTCAAAATTCTTTTTGTGATTTTAAGTATACGGAGAAATGGTTTTAAATTTTTCCTTGGTAAGCAATCTCTTTCAAATAGTATGAGCAAAGTTAGCCTCAGTTCAAAGTACTTATTCACAAGCTCTGACTTAAATAGAACTTGGTTTAAAATTAAAAGAAAAAAAGAAGAAAGCAGATTTAATACTGAGGATGATACAAGATTGGTTTTTTCCTTAATAGAGTTTGCATTCTAAGTAGAGGGTTATTATTACTGTTTAACAAATTTCATGGCAGATTTTCATTACTACTCAATATATTATATACATAAATTAGGGCCTTGACTAATTAAGCTAAGCTTTCCTATTAGTCACCCCTTAAGATAAAATTATGCTGGTGAAAATGATTGTTAAATTTCTAAAAGAATTAAAACTCATTAGAGGCATAAGTAATCAAAAGATTATTTCCCCCTTAACAAGTAAAAATACCAATAAGTCAAAACTCATATAAAAACTCTGGGATTATAATTCCCTTTTGTAGGACATGAAATTATGAATGAGCCAAACATTTTTCTTAAACTTAATTTCAAAATACCTGTGTATTTTCTGCCTTCTTTCTTCTTTGATAAACAAGTCACATGCAGTTTGACACTTCCTTAAATTTTAATCAACAGAGCTGTTTTCCTATGAGTATTAATTCCATTTTAACTGCTCCAAAGATCTAGCTTTACATGAAAATATAAAAACTCCTTCTGAGAAAAATAAATGGTGTGGATTATGAAAAGCATCAGGGTCTTAAAATGATGCCTTAATCACCACCAAAGAGTGCTTTATTCACACTTGTTTTTATGTGATCACATATTCAATTCATATTTTGGCTTATTTTTAAAATGTGGTTAGGTTTTAGTTGATTCTACAGCATTAGTAAGCCAATGGTACAATACTGTAGTTTAATAAATACTCTGCCAGGGTTTTTCCCCCACTAAATCTTCATCAGAGTCCCATTGACTGTAACAAAATCCAAGTTTGAACAGAAGTATCTGGTTACAGGAGTGGCATTAATGAATTTCACAATGTCTTAATATTCTCCCCCCCAAGATATGAGTTTTAATTGAATTTATGTATTGTTTTACCCTCATGCCCATACAAGAAGCTAAGCAAAGTATTTATCAAGTTTCTTTCAAAATCTGTCCCTGGGCAGATTTTTATTTTCTTTTTTTCCTTCCTTGCCCTCCCCCACTTTTTTTTTAATGGGAGGAAGAGAATGGAAAGAGAATAAAATTAATTCAGAAATCGTCTTTTGGAATTTCAAAATAAAAAGAGTTGTAAGGGAGCCCTCATCTGCCTAGGAACAACACTGAAAAAAGTGAGAAAGACTTCCAAGTTTCCCATTACTGGTGGAGGCTGGAGCCACAAAGAAAAAAAATCACTTTCAACACATCTCTTGGGAAGAGAGAGCTAGAGCCGCAAGGAAGTTGTAAACAAAGGCAGAGAGACTAACCAACAAAGTGGAGAATAAACACAAAGAAAAGACTCTATTGAGAATTTAGGTGAAAAACAAAGGCTATCTCAGTGGGAAAAAGAGCCAGAACTGTTTCCGGTGGAGCTGCTTGGGGTGGCACCTGACCCTTCCTCACTGGATTCTGAGAGTGGATTTGATTTGGAGTCAAGGGTTATTTCTTGATACTTGAACAAATGAGGGCCATGTTTTTTCTTGTTAAGAAGAGCACAGAAAGCCTTCCTTCACTCTAGAATTTTGGCGACTCAGGAAAAAAGGGAATTTGCTCTGACTCTGTGACCACAGCATTTCCCAACTCAAGGTGAATCCTTGCTTCTGTTGTTTGTTGCAACGTGTGCTGCCCTGGGTCCTGGATCAAATCAAAATGCTTTGGATTCTGTAAAATACATTGAAGAAGCACTGACGCCTCTGTTAACTAGGAGGTATTTTAGGCATGGCTAAGGCTCTGAAGTCATCTCAGATTTCAAGATACTGAGTCTTGTCCTCCCTAGCTTTATTTCTCTTTTTTTCTTTTTCCAAACTTTATCGTAAAACAACAAAACTTCTGAATGGATGTAACATGGGGACATTTTCATGCAGTATTACTCAAAAACTGTCACAAATATATGAAAGCACCAGTCACAACACATGATTTACTTTTACTTGCAGAATCAAAGCTATCATGTACAAATGTTAGGAATAGTGATAAAAGAACACAGACAACCGGCATTTGTTGTTGTTATTACCATGAGGATAAACCACGGGGAACATCTCTAAACCTTTTGGGTGCTCATCCTTCGAGTTCAGTCTTACAGACAAATCCAGCCTATCTCTTCACTACTCTAATGGAGAGGGGTGGAGGGAAGGGTGGGGGAAAAGGGGGAAAAAAAAAGGAACAAATACGAAACATCAATGCCTTTGAACCGAACCACGGCTACACTGGATGACTCGGCTTGTCAAAGGGTATTCTAAAGGCAATATTCATTCCAAGAAGGTCATACATATCTGAGTTCAGTACAGCTGTCTGTTTTAATTTTTATTTTTTTTAAATATGAAGCAGAAACATAAGGTTTGGGGAGGGATAGCAGGAAAGAAATGACATCAATTTTATCTTTACATATTCCCCTCCTCTAGGCAGTTCTCCAGACATCAGATCTCTTAACTTGGGGTGTGGATCAGCTTTCATACTCATAAAGGGGACCAGTTCTTTAAACATGCATAAGCCTGGAGACTCCAGGATGGTTCTCCTCCCTCTCTTTAAATGCTGTGGACTAGAAAGGCGCCCACTTTGCTAAAAACTCTACATCAGTGTCCCTGGAGCCCCGAGGCTCCTCAGGTTCCTCCCGAAGACTTAAAGGATAGCACAGAAAAACTTCTTCTCCCTAAATGGGTTTTCTGAAGCCGGAACAGGTGTCAGGAGGGGATCTTCCTTGGCATGCGCTTCACAGTAGGCCATCAAGTCTGCAGCTGCCTTGGACACCTGGAAAAGACGACAAAAACAACCAAAACTTTAGATGAGGCGTCGACAAAGGCACTGATGCAGGTTCAGGGAGTCAAGGCTCAGACTTGGGTGTCCACGCTGCCTGGGTTCAAGTGAAGCAAGATACTCATCCTCAAAAGTCACTGTTTCCTCATCTGTGAAGAAGGGAGTTGATGATCTTGACCTCACAGGGTTGCTATAAGCAGGTCCGGGATTAGAGTGAGGTGAGTGAGGCACTGGGAGTAAACTGAAGGAGGCATCCATGGTCAGGGTCGAGCAAGCATCAACCTTGTGTTTGTCCGGGCATCTCCTTAAATTCCGTGCCGCAGGCAGGAGCCTGCTTCCCTCATCTCAGTCCCAGCCCTGGCTGCAAGGGCTTATGAGGCAAACCACATAAATCATTTAGTGCCGAACACTATAAGCTTTTCACACAGGCTATCCATTATTATCATTCTGTAGTTGTAGCTCTCTGCTTCAGAAATTGAGCTAGGGATGCCTAAAGCCATGTTGATTTCTTTTTAACAAATACATGAGAGGTATTATATATGTACTCATGTAACTTTATGTATATGATAATATTATACATAATTTATGACACATATTCTATGTGTTACTTCAACCAAGCATCATACGCTTTAAGGAATTCCCCTGGGAGGCTGGTCAGTGATCTCAGCGATGCTGTCATTTCTCACAACATTTCTGTAGCTCCTTGTTGAATGTCTTCTGGAGTACCTTCCTTTGATGAGCTTTGACAGTGGCAAATTTTCACTACTGAAGGGGAATTTAATATGAGGAAATAAATTACAAGTCATTTGTAACTGCATCTTGGGCCTAGGTGAATGATGATCTAGGCCCGAGGTGAATGATGACCCCCCAGAGAATGACATCTGGGGGTCAAAAACCATAAAGTCAAGAGTCAGTCTCTTACAAGACGTAATACACTTGCTCTAGAAATCAATACAAACATCTTCCCACATCAGTGGACTACTACAACAGCAACTCAAAGTGACTACTGGAAGACAGTCCTTTCTAAGAGTGGGGAGACAGGGTTATTTCTGAAAAGATTCATTGCCCCTCCTACATGTGGGTTATACATACCCAACAAAGGCATCAGACTTGCTCAATGAGACAGAAGCAGAAGTGATATGAGTCATTTTGAGGCAGAGGCTTCAAGAACTAATGCATAGTTTGCCATCAAAGTCTTAAACACAACTGATTTTTGTATGTTGATTTTTTCATTCTGCTACTGAGTTCATTTATTAGTTCTAACAGGTTTTTTTTTTTTCTTTTTTTCTTGAGGGGGTGACATTATTAGGATTTCTCTATATAAGATCATCATCTGCAAACAGAGACAATTTTACTTTTTTGGTTTTGGTTTCAATACCTTTTATTTATTTTTTCCTTCCTGGTTATTCCAGTTAGGAGCTCCAGTACTATGCTAAATAGAGTCATGAGAGTGGGTAACCTTGTCTTGCTTCTGATCTTACAAGAAAAACTTTTAATCTTCTACCATTGAGTATGATGTCAGCTGTAGGCTTGATATATATGGACTTTATTATGTTGAGATGCATTCCTTCTATTCCCAATTTATTGACAGTTATTAACATGAAAGGATGTTGTATTTTGTTAAATTTTCTCTTGTATCTAACGAGATGCTCATGTGATTTTTATTTTTCATTCTACTAATGTGATGTAGCACATAATATGCTGTTGAATTTGGTTTGCTAATATTTTTGTTGAGAATTTTAGCATTCATATTCATTAGGGATATCAGCTTACAGTTTTCTTATAGTGTCCTTAAGTGGCTTTTCTATCAGGGTAATGCTGACCTTGTAAAATTAACTTGGAAGTGTTCTCTCCTCTTCAGTTTTTTGGAAGAGTTTTAGAAGAATTGGCATTAATTTTTTAAATGTTTGGTAGAATTCACCAGGAAAGTCGTCTAGTCCTGAGATTTTCTTTGGTGAGAATTTTCAATTACTGAATCAATCTCCTTACTGGTAATTGGTCTGTTCAGATTTTCTATTTCTTTTTTTAATGATTCAGTCTTGGTAAGTTACATGTTTCTAGAAACTTATTCATGTCTTTTAGATTATCCAATTTGTTGCATTTAATGATTCATCAGAGTCAGACACGACAGAAGCAACTTAGCAGCAGCAGCAGTCTCTTATGATCCTTTGTATTTCTGTGATATCAGTTATGTCTTTTCTTTCATTTTCAGTTTTACTTGAGTTTTTTTTTTTTCTTTCCTTAGTCTAGCTAAAGGTTTGTCAATTTTGTTTAACTTTTCCAAAAAATAGCTCTTAGCTCTGCTGACTTTTGTCCTTCTGGTCTTAATTTCAGTTATTTCTGCTTTGATCTTTGTTTTTGCTTCCTTTCACGAACTTTGTGCTTAAAATTGGTTCCTAGTTACTTGAGGTATAAAGTTAGGTTGTTTATTTGATACCTTTAAAATTTTTTTTTCTTAACACAGGTGTTTATCACTATAAACTTCCCTCTTAGAACTGTTTTTGCTGCATCCCATATGTTTTGATATGTTGTGTTTCCTATTTATTTTTTAAATTTGTTTCAGGGTACCTTTTAACTTTTCTTTTTATTTCTTCTTTGATCCATTGGCTCACTGTTTACAACTGTGTTTTTAAATTTCTGCATATTGGTGAACTTTCCAGTTTTATTCCTGTTACTGATTTTTAGTTTCATACAGCTGTGATTGGAAAAGATTCTTGGCATGATTTCAACCTTCTTAAATTTGCCAAGACTTGTTTTATGATCTGTCATTTGACCTATCCAAGAGAATGTTCTGTGTGCACTTAAGAAGAATGTATATTCTGAAGCTGTTGGATGTAACGTCCTATATAGGTTTTAGGTTCACTTGGACTAAAGTAGAGTTCAAGTTCAACATTTCCTTACTGATTTTCTGTCTGGATGATCTTCCCATTGTTGAGAGTAAAGTATTAAAGTTTCCAACTATGATTGTATTATCTGTTTCTCCGTTTAGTTCTGTTAATATGTGCTTAATGTATATAGGCACTCTGATTTTGGATGCATATATATTTATAATTGTTGTATCCTTTTAGTAAATTGATCCATACATCATTATATAATAAACTTCTTTGTCTTTTGTTATAACTTTTGGCTTAAATCCTCACTCTTTAATAGGCATTACATTGATTATTAAAGTATTTTTATTGTGTTTCTATTTTGTTACAGATATTAAGTTTTCTCTACTGATCTATTATCCTCCTTTTATAGATTAAAAATTTAGGCTCAACACATTGCAGGAGTGGTTCAGTGTCATATAGCAAAGTATGCTGCAGAAAAAGAATTTGAACATTAATGTTTAGCCATTAAGCCACAGCCATCTATATACAAACAACTCAAACAGCCTTTTACATACAAACTACTCAAATGCAGGGCTAGTTCCAAAGGTCAATTGAAATTCTTTGTGCATCTTTTTGAAATGCTATTATGACAGAATGAAAGGAAACAGCCTGTTCTTGTCTTAGCTCTTCTAAATGAAAGCAAAGAACAGACTTTTAGAATCTCAATTACTTTTATTGTTTTGGTTTTTTAATTGTTTGAGTCATAGTCATTCTTATGCAAGCAGCAGAGACTAGACAATAGTAATATCTAAAACTTCCTTGTTAACAAGAGATACAGCAGTGTCTCTACTCATTTGCAATGCTCACATACAAATGTGCAGGAATTTTCAGTCTTTTTATGGTACAGAAAACACTATACTGGGCAAAATTTAACATATTATTGACAGAGTAATTTTTGCAGAAACTAATGCCTGTGGCTGGTGATTTGTTATGTAAGGGAATACTGAAACATCTCTGGTCTATAACATTTGGATAACGAAAGATGAATTAATATGTCTCTGGTCAATAATGTGTTAATAGCTTAGAGTTGCTCAGATATTGTATTTGAACACTTGATTCTGAACAATTTCCTTCTGAAAATATATTATGTGTTTTATCATGTTTCCTCAACTAGATTGCAATCTCCTGTGATGGTCTAATACAATGTCAGAATCCTAGCAGTAATTAGAACAATGGCTAATATTTATCTGCCCTTGATACATGTTACTTTACACACAGGATTTTATTTAATCCTTAAAACAACACTATAGGTCACAAGCAATTATTATTATCCGCACTTTTAATATGTGAAGCTGAGGTTTCATTAGGTGTTTGCCCTAGTTCTCACAGCTTGTGAGTACCAAAGTCATGAGTCTTAGTGTTCTTGACTTAATTTTAGGAATGTTCTTTCTTTCTAACTCTTAGTAGTATCCTTTATCCTTACCTTTCAATGAGTTACAGCAATAGCCTGCCTGGCAAATCTTCTGGCTTTCTAACCATCTCTGCTAACATTTCTCATAGAGATTCTTTCACATTTCACATTCCTAGGCCTAGTTCTTCTGTGAAGATTTCCCCAATAACTTTAGGTAACCTCTCTCTTTTCTGTTCTGTTGATTGTTCCTACTAAAATATCTTAAATTTTAGAGATGATCAAGATGCAGAGTAGGTGGACCTGGAAGTTATCTCCCACCACAAACACATCAAAAATACATTTACATGTGGCACTGAAAACTAATTGGAAACTGACAAAGTCTCCTATACAACCAAGGCTGAAAGAAAGATCTACACAGAATTGGGTAGGAAGGGAAGAGAAGCAATCAGGTCAGGACCTGTGGCTCAGGCAGGGTTCTCAGAAGAAAAGGGAGATTACAGGGGTAGAGATTCTCCCTGGGGAGTAAATGGTTCAAGCTACATATTGCAGGCACAAGTCCTGAGGTCTGGCCCAGTGAAGACAAGCTCCCTTGACAGACTGGAGGACTGGGAGGACTAACATGAGGGCTGTGGGAAGCTCAGACTCCGTCTACTTGGGAGGAATGCATGTACGCACTCACTTTTTCCTGAAGCAGAGTGGAGAGGGCTGATTGAAATTGCATTGGTGGCTGGTTGGTTTTCCATGACCGCCCAGAGCACCCCAGCTTGAGC